CTGAGGGTTGTGATCCGTTGCCGGTCACGAAAAAAGACAAAAAGAAAAAAAAAAAAAAAAAAGAAAGTAAGCTTGATACAAAAAGAAAGAATACACACTCCACAAGCAGAGTGTGGACTGGCCTCAAGAAAGTAAGCAAGAGACCTACCTTTTGCAGGGATTTAGCTTTTATAGTTTTGCTATCTAAATATGAATATTCAACTAAGGGGGTGGTTCCCTGTTATGTAACATAGCCTTGCACATGTTCAGTTGGTCTCCTTTTGGAGTGTGTTCATTGGTCAAATCCTATCACATGTACTGAACATATTCAAGAATATTCTGTGCTCTTTAGCACCTCTAGTGGAAGGTCATTCAGAGGATAAATTCCACTTTAGTGAGCATGCTCAGCTACTAGGGTTATATAACCCTTCTCTACTGAGCATGCCCAGACACTGGATTTGCATAAGCCAGCCCCCTGTGGTCTCAACTTCCCCATGTTGGTGCCAAAAATAGGTCTAACTAGCAACAGTAACTCTCCTCTTGGGGAGGGCCTGGAGGAGAGGCCTGAGACCGTGGGGAGTGGCTTGAAACCCAGAGCTGTGTCCTGAAACTCAAGCCCAGGGAAACTGAGCACCTCCTATCTCAATATTGTAAGTAGTTTTTCATCTTTCTTGTCTCAGTCAAAAATACCTCAGGGAAAACCTTCCAAGACAGCTGGTATAGCTCTATTCTTTTTAATGGTTACATAATATTCCATGCTAAAGATAAAATACAAATTTTTTAGTCAAAGGTATGAGTGGAACTAAGTAGAAGTCCAGGCTGTCTGTGATATTTGGTGTTCTATGTATTTTGTATCCTGTCGACACAAATTGGAAGAGATTGGAAGCCAAGTCCTTCATTCTCATACTGTTGGAGGGTGCTGGTTGCTAAGCCTAGGCACTGAGGAGAAAAATAAAATTCAGTCCCCTTCTTCTGATTCTCCCACACATGTAGATACATCCTTTCCTTCACCATTCCCACTTTCCCCCTCTAAAATAAAAGGAAATGCATGACTTTTTGAAAAATCACCTTATCAAGCTTTATTTTCAACTACAGTACAGGGAAATAGCATCAACCATAAATTCTCCTTTGCTCTGCACCATTTCCTCACTCTACTTCTGTGACTCTCCTTTCCCCTTATTTCTTCGTTCCCCACTCTACCTTACTCTTTCCTCCTTTTCTCTTTGTGATACCTACCTTGTCTTTCATTTCAGTTACCTCAAATGAGAGAGAAAGAGAGAGTGCACATGTGATTGGGGGAAATGATTAAAAACAAGGAGTACAAGGAAAATCAGGTCAGACCTTTTACTGAATTATATTCTTTTTCCAATGATCTCCTTAGATATGAAATGAAAAGGAACAGTTGCCTGAACCACCAATCTTCTTGATTGCCAGCTTTAATTTAGAGCTACTCGCTCTCCACAACAATCCTCCCTTCCCACTCCCATCATATCTCATATCCCATCAAGTAAGAAACCAGGGAAATTTGTCTTTGTGAAAGCACTTTCTGATGTTTGTTTTCCTATTTGTGGGTTCTTCCTTAGATGGAAAAGTTTTACAGTGTAACAGCCACACCATCTGTGTGTATTAGGGAGCACATCACTTAAGTGTTTCCTTTTTTATTTTATATATATTTTAAATAAATATTTAAATTATTTTTTAAGTAGAATTCTCAAGGGCTTACCCTATTTATGTGGAGTTTTCAAACTATTAGAAGCCTAGATTTTTATTGTTCTATTTGAAGTTAGTTATTGACTTGTTCCTCCTTTTACTAAAACTCACCCATACTATATGTCTACCATGTGTTCCATAATGTAACTAATCTAATGAACTAATATTAATTTGTTAATGGAAGAGATATACCTCCCCTACCACTCTCCCCCACCAAATCAAAGTATTCAGTCTTCCATGTAGCACACATGAATTTCAAAGAAGTTTCTACAGACATGATGCAGGCCGTACTTTCAACTGATGTGAATTTCAGACCGATTAAAGGGAAGGATGGAGATTGACAAACTGGTATCAAGTATATAGATGTAAGCAAATACTCTGCCTTTATTTAGGGAACTGCTTTACAGAAGAATGAGGAAGAGCAGAACGTGGGGAATGCCAGTTAGTCAGTGTACAGTTTTGACACACATTTGCAAAGCTGGTTTTTCTGCACCTTTGACTAGGAAAACAAATGAGTACAACAGGCTTGATCTTGAAAGGGACCTATGTTAAACATTAAACAAAAATGGAGATTTTTTTTTATGTTGATCAAAAGAGTGTTAAAAAGAATGAGAACAGGGCCTTCCAGGTTTGGCAGCAAAAAGAGGTAGGCAATTCCTTTCTGCAAAAAAACAAAAAAAAGTATTAAACTAAATTGTCAAAACCCAGCCATTTTGGGGAACTGGAAATTGACTAATGGCAGACAACAAACTGAGAAGCATCTATTCTTGAAAAACTATGAGATGTCCAGGTATGAACAGTAGGAGATCATGGCCTTGTTGCATGGAATGCTCCCATCACCCTCTACATTAGTCAATGACTTAAGTAAAATGGGACTGACCATGAAAACTGTAGCCTTGCTGCCAATGAATGGGTTCAATTCAGAGTAATGGTTAGGGGACTTAAAATCCTTTGCTTCACTGGCTAAATGTGTGAATGAATACTTGGGAATTAGTCAGGAAAATTCACAGCTTTGCTAGCCTGATGTTGTACTCACACTTGGGGCAAGCAGAAGATCAACCAGGAATTTAACAGGGAGATCCTGGAAATGATAGATTTATAAAAGGTTGAGATAAGAACTCCACATGTCCCCAACTGACTGAGAAACTATGCATATATGGGGGAGACCTGACAGAATCCAGCAAAAAGTTAAAGACAAGGGAGAATTGAATACTGGGCTTCTCCAGCCCACACACAGATGGATCAAGAGAGGCTGGAAGCCTTGTAGGCTTGAAATATTTAAGCAAACCTCTTCCCAAATAATTGGCCAACTACTCTAATTGGCTATGAAAACAAAGAAGTGACCTCTAGGAAGCAAAGCTAAGAAATAAAAAACAAGAATAACAAAACTGGGCAAAGACATCAGCATCTTCACACTGTGTGAGAGACAGATTCCAATTGTCCAGGCTAAATGTGGTGGGGGAAGGGGCGGGAAACACTCCTTGGGAATATAATACAGATTCCAGAATTGCTGCAATATAATTATCTAAAAAATGTTCAGGGCCGGCCTGGTGGCGCACTGCTACAGTGCGCCGCTTGGGAGCGCGGCGGCGCTCCAGCCGAGGGTTCAGATCCCACATACAGACCGGCCGCTCACTGGCTGAGCGAGGTGCGGGAGCAACACCGAGGGTTGCGATCCCGTTGCCGGTCCCGGTCCGGTACGGGCGCGACACTGAGGGTTGCGATCCGTTGCCGGACACGGAAAGAGACAATAGACAAAAAAAAAAAAAAAAAAAAAAATTTGTAAACTTAAAAACAATTCACTTGAAAAAATCCAGAGGAAAAAAAAAAAAAAAAAAAAAAAAAGAATCTGTAAACTTAAAGACAATTCACTTGAAAATATCCAGAGGACAAAAAAAAAAAAAAAAAAAAAAATTTGTAAACTTAAAAACAATTCACTTGAAAAAATCCAGAGGAAAAAAAAAAAAAAAAAAAAAAAAAGAATCTGTAAACTTAAAGACAATTCACTTGAAAATATCCAGAGGACAAAAAAAAAAAAAAAACTAAAAAAAAATGAAATGAAGAATGCTTATGAGATTTATAAGACACCATCCAGAAAGCTAACTCTGATATTACAGCAGTTCCAGAGGAGAAGAATGAGAGAAAGGGGATGAAAGCTTACAGAAACAAAGGCTGAAAACTTCCCAAATCTGGGAGGAGATATGGACATCAGTACATGAAGCTTAAAAGTCTCCAATCAGGTTCAACCAAAAGAAGACTACACCAGGATATATTATAATCAAACTGTCAAAAATCAAAGACAAAGAATATTGGAAACAGCAAGGGGAAAAAGGTTCCTTCTGTACAAGAAAATTGCCATAATTCTATCAGTAGATTTCTCAGCAGAATCTTTGCAGACCAGAAGAAAGAAGGATGATATATTCAAAGTGCTGAAAGAAAAAAGTCTGCCAACCAAAAATAGTTTACCTGGCAAAGCTGTACTTTGGAAGTGAAGGAGAGGTTCTGGTGGGTTAGCTCAGTTGGTTAGAGCATAGTGTTGTAACACCAAGAACAAGGGTTTGGACCCCATAGCAGCCAGTCACAAAAAAGAGAAAGAAAAAGAAAGAAATGAAATGAAATGAAGGAGAGATCAATACTTTCCTAGACAAAAGCCTAGGGAGTTTATCAACACTAGATATGCCTTACAAGGAATGCTAAAGGGCGTTCTTTAAGCTGAAATAAATGGTTGCTAATAAGTAACATGAAAACATATGAAAATACAAAATTCACTGGTAAAATTAAGCATATAGTCAAATTCAGACTACTCTAATATTGTAATGGTGGTGTGCAAAATTAATTATATCCCTAGTATAAGGGTTAAAAAGAAAAAATATTTAAAATTACTATAGCTATAATAATTATTTAATGGTATGCAATATAAAAATATATAAACTGTGACATCAAATACATAACATGGGGGGGAGCAAACATAGAATTTTTATATGCAATTGACACTGTTATTATCAGCTTAAAATAAACTGTTATACTATGAAATGCTTATGTAAGCTTCATGGTAACCGCAAAGTAAAAATCCATAGTAGATACACAAAACATAAAGAGAAAAGAATAAAAGCATACCACTAAAGAAAATCATCAGATCACAAAGGAAGACAGCAAGCAAGAAAGAAAAGAACAAAGGATTTACAAAATGGCCTGAAAACAATTAATGAAATGGAAATAGTACGTCCTTACCTCTCAATAATTACATTGAATATAAATGGATTAAATTCTCCAATCTAAAGACACAGAGTGGCTGAATTGATGAGAAAAACTGAGACCCAAATGTACTGACTACACAAGACTCACAACAGCTTTAAGAACACATATAGTCTGAAAGTGAAGGGATAGAAAAAGATATTCCATACCAGTAAAGAGCTGGGGTAGCTATACTTACATCAGATAAAATAGACTTTAAGTCAAAAATTGCAAAAAGAGACAAAGAAGATTATTATATAGTGATAAAGAGGTCAATTCATCAAGAGGATATAACAATTGTAAACATATATGTACCCAACACTAGAGCACCTAAATATATAAAGCAGATACTAATAAATCTAAAGAGAGAAAAAAAACAGCAATACAATAATAGTAGGGGACTTCATACCCCACTTTCAACAATGGATAGATCATAGAGACAGAAAAATCAATAAGGAAACATAGGATTTGAACACACTTTAGGCCAAATGGACCTAATAGAAACATACAGAACGTTCCATCAAACAGCAGCACAATATACATTCTTCTCAAGTGCACAAGGAACATCCAGGACAAACCATATGTTAGGATACTAAACCAGTCTTAACAAATTTAAGAAGATTAAAATCATATCAAGTATCTTTTCTGACCACAATGGTATGAAACTAGGAATCAATAACAGGTGGAAGACTGGAAAAATCATGAA